ATTGGATTGATACCTTGGTTCTCAAAAACTGAGGGAAATACTTATGCTACTTTGCTGCATCATCCCTTCCTCTTCGGGGAAAACCAACGCAGTGCTAAAAGAGGAAACAGGGGCCTGTTCCGGAGCTCTGCCGGAGGGGGCATCGATCACAGAGGGCTTCTACATCAACACCATAGCCCCTCCGATGAAGTGAAGTGTTAGTAGTTCACCTCAGACCTACGGGTCCATAGTTAGTAGCTAGATGGCCTCTTCTCTCTTTTTGGATCTCAATACAATGTTCTCCCCCTCTCTTGTGGAGATCTATTCGATGTAATCTTCTTTTTGCGGTGTGTTTGTTGAGACCGATGAATTGTGGGTTTATGATCAAGTCTATCTATGAACAATATTTGAATCTTCTCTGAATTCTTTTATGTATGATTGGTTATGTTTGCAAGTCTCTTCGAATTATCAGTTTGGTTTGGCCTACTAGATTGATCTTTCTTGCAATGGGAGAAGTGCTTAGCTTTGGGTTCAATCTTGCGGTGTCCTTTCCCGATGACAGTAAGAGCAGCAATGCACATATTGTATTGTTGCCATCGAGGATAACAAGATGGGGTTTTCATCATATTGCATGAGTTTATTCCTCTACATCATCTCATCTTGCTTAAGGCGTTACTCTGTTTTCATTAACTTAATACTCTAGATGCATGCTGGATAGCGGTCGATGAGTGGAGTAATAGTAGTAGATGCAGGCAGGAGTCGGTCTAGGAGTCGGTCTACTTGTCTCAGACGTGATGCCTATATACATGATCATACCTAGATATTCTCATAACTATGCTCAATTCTGTCAATTACTCAACAGTAATTTGTTCACCCACCGTAGAATACTTATGCTCTCGAGAGAAACCACTAGTGAAACCTATGGCCCTCGGGTCTATCTTCATCATATTAATCTCCCAATACTTAGTTATTTCCTTTGCTTTTTACTTTGATTTTATTTTACTTTGCATCTTTATCACAAAAATACCAAAAATATTATCTTATCATATCTATCAGATCTCACTCTCGTAAGTGGCTGTGTAGGGATTGACAACCCCTTATCGCGTTGGTTGCGAGGATTTATTTATTTTGTGCAGGTGCTAGGGACTCACGTGTAGCCTCCTACTGGATTGATACCTTGGTTCTCAAAAGCTGAGGGAAATACTTACGCTACTTTGCTGCATCATCCCTTCCTCTTCGGGGAAAACCAACGCAGTGCTCAAGAGGTAGCAGCAATCATCTTGTGTAAGATTACGCAACATGTACTCCACCAACACCAACTGCTCCCATTAGTTGCCCGCCATGGACGAGCCGCATTCCACAGCCTACAAATTTTGCTAAATGGGGATGAAACCCATATTGGGGTTCAATCAAAGTTGTGTACAGAAGCAGTGAACTTATCTACTTTGGCTCCTCATCAATTAATTGTCTATTTGGGCATGATGGATCATGCTATATATGGTGGAAGCATTGGTATGTTGTGAGGGACTGGTTTTGGTGGACGATCTATCTCTCAGATGATTGGTGGTAGCATCTCACCATAAGAGGGTAACTGCAACCTATGTTGAGGCACAGTGGTAGCTATGCTAACATGACCCAAGAAATCCCAACCCTTCAAAGGACTTCATTGATGCATCCTTCCTTTACGAATGAATAAGCTCTAATACTGGACCTTAAAATATTGCTTATTATGCCTTATCGCTTGATTTTGGACGCGACGTTTCACTCCTCGAATCTTGTGATCAAATCACTATCCCCGCTACCATTGGTCAAGAATAAAGAGCAACTTGCCTAAAAAATGTCTCCCAAATTCATCCAGTATCCATCCAAATCTGAATTAGGTGGAGTCAGTAACTAATTGTAACTAAATTGCATGAGGAAAAGAAATGGATCCAAACCAATGCTTTCTCATTTCTTTACCTTTCTCTTATCAAGCAAGATGTTTAATATCCAACCTAAATTGCCTTTTCTATTAGATCTCTATCATGGTATAAATTCCTACAACATGTAGTGGTCTATAGTCTAAACCATGTATGAGCTCTAAAATTTATTATTTGCATACACATTTAAAGTTGAGGTATGCATATACCAAAAAAATCACTTGCTTTTCTGTGCAAAGTGTGATCAATATTTCTACATTTTAGGTGTCTATGAGATACATGGAAGTATCAGTCACTAAACTAAATGTGATTGTCTTCTCTCACTCGTTTATCAATTGACAAAGATGACCCATTCTTTTTTGCCCAAAAAATGACATTGGTTTGGTACTTTTTCTTCAAATCGAGATTGTGTGGGTGTCCGCTCATGTTCATGTTACATGCTAAATCAGTCTTTCCTTTCTCTTTTCGGGACAACCCCTATCTCAGTCCCCTTTCTCTTTTCGAGAGAAGAGCTAATAAAGATGGAGTTACCTGGAGATGAGATTGATTTCTATGGATATGAGATAGAAATGCACATCTTTAGTATAAAATAAGAAACTGCGAAAAAATCGCTTTTCCTAAACTGATATTTCCTCACGTAAGCAATAAAATGTGAAACCATTATTCATCATGAAACTTCAGACATTGACGATTGTGAAGTTCTAGAAGGGCTGCTCGTAAGGGGGGGGGGGGGTTGTGAAAGCAAGCGTAGGAGATCAAAATGTGAGTCGAGTCCGATGGTTAAAAAGGGGAAGCAGAAAAGGGTTCTTATGTGAATTCTTTTGGGCTTCACATCAACATAGTTGCTCGTGTTTGGAGAATTCTTTAAGATATGAAGTCGAATGTCGAACAATACATTTGGAGGCACCTCGGCCCGAGGGTAGTTAGTTCAGTAGATGCCTTCATGAGTCATGGCTCTCCTTTCTTCTCTATCGCTTATCCTCACGTCACATCCCATCATGGTTTGCTAGGGATCCCGTAGAGATAGTCGTACATGGGATGACTGGTGGTGCCAGTAATCCTCAGTACGAGATTTTTGTCTAAGGATGACCCTAGCCTTGGACTAGTTCTCTAGGGGCAATTCTAGGTCTTGGCTAGTAACCCAAGGCAATTTCAGCTTTTGGCTAGCTTCCGAAGGCGACACTGGCTGTTGGCTACCAAGTGAAGGCAAATCTAGCTTTTGGCTAGTATCCAATGGTGGAAAAGGTGCCATAGCACCCGGTTGCCCCGACACCCTCTACTCTAGTACATATCCCTAGGCACACAAATCTGGACCTACGGTGCTGATAAGGGGGTGCTTGGACACCTGGGTGCTGAAAATCCACTCTCATCCAAAGGTGTCTCTTATTCTTCGCTAGTGTCCTAAAGGCGACGCTAGCTCTTCGCAAGCAACCGAAGTCAACTCTAGCTTTTGGCGAGTTTAATTAGGTGTCACTTGGAGGATAGACATCTAGGGCTCCGACATGCCCTAGAGATAATTCATACACACCTAGCTACCGCTTTGGCCCTCATCCCTTACTCTGAAGTTGTTCGCACCTCACCTTGAAGCCAGTCATGTTGTAGTTTAATCTGCCCGGTCATGCCGCCATGACTTGGACGCGGTATTGGGCCGCGTTGAGCTTGTCAGGTCACCTTGGGAATATCACGCCATGCACCTAGATTAGATCCTGGCAGCACCCAGATGGCTGTGGCTTCAATCCCATGCCGACCTCCGACTCCGACTCTGGTTCCGCATCCTTGTTATTCCTCTCTTCCCTCCCATGCCCAAAGTGGGAGAGAGACTCAAATTTCACTACCCTCTCCAAGTGCGGGGATATCCTCTATTTATAGGAGAATATTGGAAATTTTAGGTGGCATGTTATTGGGCATTTTACAAGTGTAAATTTACATATCACACCATTGAGATTGCCCTTTTGGATTATTGTCTTCTCTCACATCATTTTTAGGGGTATTTTGTGGATTTATGGCACATCTGGTCTTCATATGTGAACTCCTTCACTACCGGGCGACTACCAACAGAATAGGTTGTGTGTCCATGTGGTGGGTTTGACTTCAAATTGACAATTGGGGGTCTTCTGGTCCTCGGAATCAAATTCTATCAGCTTCAGATGCCTCATCTTTCTTTATTATCCTCCGAGGAGGATGTCATGGGTGTGGTCTTGGTGCTTGGAGCACATGGGGCACATCGAGCTAGTTAAGAGCCCGAGTGCTAAGATTTCCATATTCGCCATGTTGACCTGGCGAGCATCCATCTTCCCCATGGAAAAGAACCTAGGTGCGAGGATCCATAAGTGCCTCAAATGCTCTGTAACGAAGTTCTACATTGATTGTGGGTATGGTGTGGACCCCACTTACCACAAGGAATGTAAAGTTTTTTTTGCAGATCAACTTGCAGCTTCGAGCAGTAAATTTTGGTTTTGCAAAATGTCTTTTGGGCAAGCTTGAGCCTATGGTTCTTATTTTACTGTGTGATGACCATGTTGGGGTAACTTTTGACTCCATGCCATTTATCATATCATCATCGAACCCTTCATATATAAGAAATAAGTGACTTTTTAGGCATGTTGTACTCAAACTTTTAGACTTGAATACGAATATCATTTTGTTTATGCAGACTGAAGATGCACGCATCATCTTCATAACTGAATTTGTGCATAAGTGTATATGAACAATGTGACCACACCGCGTCATGACATGTCTAGTCTATAAAAATTGCAATGCATTTTATCCTCGCTATCTTTTTTTCTGCGGTCGATGATGCCAAAAGCACTCGTTGTCCTGGTTTGTTTCTGACTTCCAATATATTGGTTGTGTCTGCTCTCCTCAACTGTATTTTGTTTGGATTTGTCTACACTGTAAATTTGGAGCATTGAATGTTATGCCTAAAATTGGTACTCACTAAAGTCTGTTGTATGCATGTGCCTAATTAAATTACTCAATTAATAGGAGTACGTATATATCTTTTGGATTAAGATGGGTCTAAATTCATTCGCCAAAGAAAAGATAGGTCTAAATTAATTAATGATTCAGCAGAAACGTTCCTTAGCCTCGGCGCAGCTATAAATGGCGCTCTCTAAAACTCAAGGAAGACCCCGGTGGAAAACTTTCCTCTTCAGTTTTGTAGCGGCGGCCGTCGGGATGAAGTTACGCGCCGGTACGCCGCCCGTCCTGTACTCGTACGCGTCGATGCAGCAGCGGAGCGGCGGCGGCGTGAGGTGTCGCGAGTGCGTTGCCGTGCTGGGCGCCGCCGCCTTGGTGGTGCTCGTCGTCACCCACGCGCTCCTCCCGGGGGCCAGGTTGGGGGACCTGGGCGACGTTGTTAGCCCGGTGCTCCGTCTCCGGAGAGCCAGGCGAGAGGAGGTGCCGTCGTCGGAGAAGACGGTAGGGGAAATCGGCGACGAGGCCGATGGGTTCCTGTGGAACAACGCCATGCTGCAGTGGCAACGCACCGGGTACCATTTCCAGCCGGAGAAGAACTACATGAACGGTATGGAATCCATTACTTCAAGATTGAGTTTTCAGATTCAAATCCTCCTATATGTTCTTCCCCGGTACCGACGACTATGTTTGGAGGAAGAGACTGACTGGCAATGGCTAGCTGCCTTTTTTGCTGCCTTTTTGTTTGTTTGCTTGCCGGAGAAAGAAACTGACTACCTTTTGCTTACGTGCTCCGGCGACATGCATGCATGTATGTATGCATGCAGATCCAAACGGTGAGTAGGATCATTATCAGTTTTAATCCTGACCAGCTGTCTATCCATTGACAAGGAAAGGTGCTGATTAATTGAAACGCAAACATGCAGCTCCGATGTACTACCGTGGATGGTACCACTTCTTCTACCAGTACAACCCGAAGGGCGTCACGTGGGGCAACATCTCGTGGGGCCACGCCGTGTCGCGGGACATGGTCCACTGGCACCACCTACCCCTTGCTATGGTGCCTGACCGATGGTACGACATCAAAGGCGTTTTGACGGGCTCCGCTACCATACTTCCCGATGGCAAAGTCGTCCTGCTCTACACGGGGAACACCGACACCCTTGCCCAGGTACAGTGCCTTGCCGTACCTGCTGACCCTCATGATCCTCTCCTTCGTACTTGGACCAAGCACCCTGCAAACCCTGTGCTCCTTCCGCCCCCCGGGACCGGCAAAAAGGACTTTCGCGACCCCATGACAGCATGGTTTGATAAGTCCGACAACACGTGGCGCACCATGATCGGGTCCAAGGACGACAACGGCCATGCTGGCGTCGCCCTCATGTACAAGACAAAAGACTTTGTCAAGTTCGAGCTCATCCCACGCCCGGTCCACCGCGTCGAGGGCACCGGCATGTGGGAGTGCGTCGACTTCTACCCTGTGGGCAACCGCAACTCATCACATGAAGAGTTGTACGTGCTGAAGGCGAGCATGGACGATGAACGACATGACTACTATGCATTGGGAAGGTACGACGCAGTGACCAACACATGGACGCCGCTGGACCCAGAAGCAGATGTGGGAATCGGACTAAGGTACGATTGGGGAAAGTTCTTTGCGTCCACGACATTCTATGATCCGACAAAGCGGCGACGCGTGATGTGGGCGTATGTTGGTGAGACAGACTCCAACCGGACCGACCTCGCCAAAGGATGGGCAAACGTCCAGGTATCTGTATTGTACATCAATTTGATATGTTTTACCACGTGTTTACCGTCTATCATCAGTTCCATTCGTTCGTTATGCATGCTGGATATATATATAGATATGACAAGCATCTTTACTAAACAACAATGCGATTGTTAACTTGCATTTATCATCTTGCATTCGTTCATTATGCATGCTTGATACATAAATAGTCCATCCATTCATTGTTACAAAAATGTTTGATTTTTTTCTTCTGATTTGGATGTATATAGACATGCTTTAGTATGTATATTCACTCATTTCAGCCTATACGTAGTCCATATTAAAATATCCCAAACATCTTATAATAGTGAACGGAGAAAGTAAATCTTTGTAGTTCTGACTTCAAAAATATTTTGGGTATGTGTTTTTTTGACTCATTTCACTATTAACTAGGCTCTCTGAGAACGTCGAATCTGATTAAAAAAGGTTCAAATTAGACATTTCCATCATGTTTGTGCTATAAGCCAGCTCGTACTTCTTAGCACATAAGAGAACCATTTATTAAGTTGCCCGCTGAATCTATGAGCAGGCAAGAGACAATGTGGCGAATTATTAGTTAGAAGAAAAGGTAGTGGTTCTTAGTATCAAAGTGCCATCATGATCAAGGGACTTGCCTAGCTTGAATCTAACTAATGGTGTATGATGTAGGCGATTCCGAGGACGGTGGCGCTGGACGAGAAGACCCGGACGAACCTCCTCCAATGGCCGGTGGAGGAGATCGAGACCCTCCGCCACAACACCACTGACCTCAGTGGCATCACCATCGGCACTGGCTCCATCACCCCCTTGCATCTCCGCCAAGCCGCTCAGCTCGACATAGAGGCCTCCTTCCGCCTCAACATATCTGACATCGCATCCCACAACGAGGCTGACATTGGCTACAACTGCAGCACTAGTGGTGGTGCCTCCAAGCGGGGTGCACTTGGCCCCTTCGGCCTCCTCCTCACCAACGGCCGTAGTGAGCAAATGGCAATGTACTTCTACGTGTCTAGAAGCCTCGACAGGGGACTCCGGACCCACTTCTGCCATGACGAGTCACAGTCATCGCTGGCCAAGAACGTTGTGAAGCGTGTGGTGGGCAGCACCGTTCCGGTGCTCGAGGGCGAGGCTTTATCCGCTAGGATTCTTGTGGATCATTCCATTGTGGAGAGCTTTGTGATGGGTGGGAGGTTGACGGCGACGTCACGGGTTTATCCCACTGAGGCCATCTACGAGGCGGCTGGGGTGTATGTTTTCAACAACGCTACCGGCTCCACAATGACCGTCGAGAGGCTCGTGGTGCACGAGATGCACTCAACACCGATGCAACGAGATCTTTATGCACGAGATTAATTTCCAACGGTTTTCTCTTTTATAAGTTGGGTGTCTGAATTTTTCAAGTTCTGTCAGATGGATCTAGTCAGTAGTATACTCATGGAACAAAAAAAATCACAGACTGTTACTGTCGGCTCGTTTATGCAGCAGATTGTCTAGTGGGTGGACAGGTGGGTGTGGTCCATTGGGCTGGTATTAGGCTGGACGGTAGAGGAGTCCATTTCCATCGGGTAAGAGCATTACTAGTAGAACCCTCAAACCCTTAAACCCTTACTAGCGTTTTAAGGGTCCAAAAATAAAATTTTTTTTGCACTTTTACGGGTTGAAAAATAGGGGCAAAGATTAGAACCCTCAAACCCAACCCTTATAACGGAATATTCCCCATGAACGACGTTGTTGTTGCGCGCGGGAGGTCGACGGGGCGGCCGCCGGCGACGGGGCGACTAGCTGCGGCGGTCGCGGGCGTGGGCGCGGGAGTTGGGAGGATTTTTCCCTCCCGCACGAGTATAACCGCCAAATGTGGGTTGGGGTAGGTTTTGCTCCCCAACCCTTACTTTTGAGAATTGGAAGAGGGTTTAAGGGTTGGACCTTTAAAAAAATTTAAAGGTTTGAGGGTTAAGGGGTTCTAGTCTACGGCCTTTTTTTGACGAAAACTGTAAAAATGCAGTTATTTTTAGGGGTTTGAGGATTTGAGGGCTCTACTAATAATGCTCTGGCCGGAAAGTATACAGAGCAGAAAGGGATCCATTAGCTCATATGTAACTCGATAGCTAGACTCGATACTGTTCTACAAAAACTAGACTCTGACACATTAAAGCCGAAGTGGGGCCCCTCACCTGTATATCAATCCTTTCTCATTTCTTTTCCTAACACTTTCTGAGCGAGAGGTTTACTCATGCGTAACTCTTTTTTTGCGGGTATATTGCTCTGTGATGACCATGCTGAATTCACATTTGCCTTTTTCCTTGATACAATCAACCTACCATATCACCAGTGATATATGGACCCTCTATATCATAAACAAGTCACTTTTTGGACATGGTTTCAATCAAAATTTTAAAATTAACATTTCACTAAAAACATATAGTTTTGTTACTTGGATTGAAACTTGAAAATCGTAGACAGATATTTGTACATGTGTTTAAGACGGTGATAAAACCGGCAGTAAAATAATTTCTATCTTACAGTATTAGTTTTTTCAGTAGTTGTGCAACCAGTATCAACCTTATGTTGTGACCTACACACATGGATGCCAGATTTCTTTTTGCGGGGAACAATGTTTTTTATTAACTTATAACAACCTCTTTACAATCATTGGCGAGTTGCTCCCTGATACACGGGTGCGTCAAGCCGCAAAACTGCAGCTTCCACACCCCTCTTAGCATATTGTGCAAAGATCAGGAGCTACGCCATTACAAGCCCCCTTCACTAAGCTGAAACTCATATTGTGCGAGCTCATAAGCTACACCGCTGTCAAGTTCGAACACCACAGTGATAGCAGAACCTCTCCCCTATAGTTAGAAACAACGCAACCTTCCGTTGCTATCCTCGAGCCATCATCAAAGAGGAGATCCAACGCATGGCCTCAGCTGGCGCCACTGTGGGCTGGAATACAGGAACCATGGCCATCCCCTTCGGTATACCGGACCCTTGTCGGATTGAGCACCACCAGACTATCTCAAAATGATCTTTTTTATCAAAAGGGGTTCCCCCAGCCCCATTTTTATTGGGAACGAGGCAAACAAAGCATCCACCACTGTTAACTGCGTTCAGGTCAAGCCAAAGAGTAGCTGAACCAGAATTAAACATTACAGGACCTTACAAAAGGAAACATAATGTCGCCTACGAAACAGTGGCGAAGCCATGTCTAGGCTGTGTAGTCACTTGACTACACAGCTCTTTGACAAAAACGTCATACATTAAGTATAAATCAAGCAAAAATATATAAAAATATGTATATTTGACTACACATGATTTTATTCCTGACACCGCCACTGCTACGAAACGGACGCTGCCAAAACAAACGACCAAGCACAGCTCGCTGCTATCGAATCAGCGGCGTACCAGTTGGCGTTCGCTCTCAGGTAGGCGCGTCGTTATTCGCCGGTCCCATCGACAGGCAGAATCAGCCCCAAGCGATTCTCAACATCTCACCTCTGCGCCGATCCAGGAGTAGTAAGCACCTCCACATGAACATACATTCAGAACCGTTGTAAAGGATCTTCCATTGACGAAGAAGTGCGCTTACTCTTCCCTGTAAGACTCTGACATCTGTCCAAATGAAGCGCCGAAAACACATTTCATTATGAACACTACACAAGCTCCACAAGGTAGTAATACAAGACATGTTAACAACCGCCAGTTTTTTACTATGAGTCCACATCTCAAATAGATCATGTATAGATCGAGGTGATGTAAAAGTATAAGTTCCAGGCATACACTTCCAAGTCACCCTCGCAAAAATGCAATAAAAAGGCAAGTGGTGAACATTCTCCATTTCACCACAAAATAAAGAGGTTAAGTCCTCAATATGATGTCTCTTACCTAATTTATCTCTAGTCAAAATTTGGTAGAGCAACATGCAATTCAAACATCATAATTGGGAGGAATAGGTATCTTCCAAAAAGGGGAAGAAAGCCAACTTAGTAATATACTTCAAGATCACATCGTCATATTGTTATAAGTATAATCACGCAAATATTTACATAACTCACTTACTTAGACCATGAGAATACCAATGTACCTTCATGTCGGACAGTGTACTTTGGGGTTCGTGCAACGTTACCCGTAATAGGGTGATTATAATGACAACTTTGGGGTGTATCAGAAAAGTATGTCGAGGGACTTGATAGCTAAAGATTGACATTTGATCCTCCGACAATGGAGAGATATTCTCCGTGCCCTCTTTGTATTATGGTATCTGTCGGGCGGAGTAACCCCCAGTTTGCCAAACCCACGAATCAACAAAACAACCAACAAAGAATCAGTCAGAAGATCGGCTGCCCAGAGGCCTGCCATGGCTGGCTATAGGCACGGCCATGGCCCGGCACTCCCTGCAGCCCTGGCCAGTTGCCACTTTGTGGCTCTCATGGTCGGCTGCTAGGGGCAGCCATGGCCGGCTGCCATGTGAAGGAAATATGCCCTAGAGGCAATTATAAAATTGTTATTTATATTTCCTTATATTATGATAAATGTTTATTATTCAAGCTAGAATTGTATTAACCAAAAATTTAGTACATGTGTGAATACATAGACAAACAGAGTGTCACTAGTATGCCTCTACTTGACTAGCTCATTGACTCAATGATGGTTATGTTTCTAGACCATAGACAAGAGTTGTCACTTGATTAACGGGATCACATCATTAGAGAATGATGTGATTGACTTGACCCATCCGTTAGCTTAGCACGATGATCGTCTAGTTTGTTGCTATTGCTTTCTCCATAACTTATACATGTTCCTATGACTATGAGATCATGCAACTCCCAAATACCGGAGGAACACTTAGTGTGCTATCAAACATCACAACGTAACTGGGTGACTATAAAATTGCTCTATAGGTGTCTCTGATGGTGTTTGTTGAGTTGGCATAGATCAAGACTAGCATTTGTCACTCCGAGTATCGGAGAGAGGTATCTCTGGGCCCTCTCGGTAATGCACATCACTATAAGCCTTGCAAGCAATGTAACTAATGAGTTAGTTGCGGGATGGTGCATTACGGAACGAGTAAAGAGACTTGCTGGTAACGAGATTGAACTAGGTATTGAGATACCGACGATCGAATCTCGGGCAAGTAACATACCGATGACAAAGGGAACTACGTATGTTATTGTGCGGTTTGACCGATAAAGATCTGCATAGAATATGTAGGAACCAATATGAGCATCCAGGTTCCGCTATTGGTTATTGACCGTAGATGAGTCTCGGTCATGTCTACATAGTTCTCGAACCCGTAGGGTCCACACGCTTAACGTTTGGTGACGATCGGTATTATGAGTTTATGTGTTTTGATGTACCAAAGGTAGTTCGGAGTCCCGGATTTGATCACGGACATGACGAGGAGTCTCGAAATGGTCGAGACATAAAGATCGATATATTGGAAGCCTATGATTGGACATCGGAATGGTTCCAGATGAGTTTGGGCATTTTCCGAAGTACCGGGAGGTTACCGGAAGCCCCCAGGGAGTATATGGGCCTTACTCGGCATTAGTGGAATAGAGGAGAGGAAGGGAAAAGGTGGGAGGCTCGCCCCCCTAACCCAATCCAAATTGGGTGGGGCCCGCCACCCTCCTTTCCTTCCTTCTCTCCTCCCCTTCCTTCTCCCGTACTCCTACTACTTGGAAGGGGGAATCCTACTCTCGGTGGGAGTAATACTCCCATAGGGCGTGCCATAGAGGGCCGGCCCTCCCCCTCCTCCACTCTTTTATATACGGGGGAGGGGGCACCCCATAGACACACAAGTTGATCATTGTCTTAACCGTGTGCGGTGCCCCCCTCCACCATAATCCACCTCGGTCATATCGTAGCAATGCTTAGGAGAAGCCCTGTTCCGGTAGCTTCCTCATCACCGTCATCACGCCTCGTGCTGACGTAACTCTCCCTCGACACTTGATACGTCTCCAACGTATCTATAATTTTTGATTGCTCCATGCTATATTATCTACTGTTTTGGGAAATATTGGGCTTGATTTTCCACTTTTATATTATTTTTGGGACTAACCTATTAACCGGAGGCCCAACCCAGATTTGCTGTTTTATGCCTATTTCAGTGTTTTGAAGAAAAGGAATATCAGACGGAGTCGAAACGGAACGAAATAAACTAGAGAAGTTATTTTTGGAACGAAAGCCACCCGATGGACTTGGACCCCACATCAAGGAAGGAAGGAGGAGCTCACGAGGGTAGGGGCGCACCCCCCTGCCTCGTGGGGCCCTCGTGGCTCCCCTGACGTGCTTCTTCTACCTATATAACTCCATATACCCTAAAACTTCCAGAATGCACAATAGATCGGGAGTTCCGC